ATCATGCAGAAATGTTATTATCATTTAAAGCTACCACGGGATCTGCCGATAACACCTGGATCCCTGACCTGACCTCCACCCCGTGCACTCCGAAAACTGTCAACGGACGAAAAAGTACGTTCACAAATTCCCACAAACTCACCGGTTATGATGCTATATTCTTTCTTTAGTTTTTGAACGTAAAATTCGCTAATGTGACAATTTTTGTGTAACCCACAGATCTTCAATGCAGACTCCTCACGTCATCACCATCAGCAGCAACCACCAGTACAAGTCAAACCGGTACACTCATACCATTTACAAAATAATCCATGTTATGAATTTGCAAGTGAAGAAAAACTATGTAGGTAATGTTTCCAAAGTGGCAGGTGGATCTAGGCCTTAAACAGACACATTCTGTAATTTACCTTGCTGATATGGGTGTTTTTAAATTCCCCTATAATCGACATTATCTTGTTCTATATCTGCACTACATTCATTGTGCCATGCTAAGTTGTTTTAAATGTTTCAGAATTTTCACAAACTACAAACCGGAGCCCGAGGCCAGGTAACCTTACATCACTAAATTGAATAACCAAACAATTTTCGTATTATGCAACTTGACATTACTCCTAAACATCATGTAGCGAGGTAGTGTTTGTTTAACACCTTCTGTATTGACACAGATCTGATGCAATATCGATTGGCTGTGCAGAAAAAGAAGAGTACAACAAAAGGTATGAAAACAATACCGGCACAGTATACTTAAGAGCAATGCTGTACTATTTCTATTAATGTCATATGACTAGAGTACATATTAAACATGAATTCATACAACACTGAGTACATTCTATTTTGACAAAGCTTTAATTTGTTTTTTTTTCTACAAACATACAGACCTCCACCAACTAAAGCCAAGTTCTCTGCATAGACAGAGCCCCAGAGGAGGTATGACATGTGGGGTAACATGTATATGGGTACATACATTTTTTGTTACATATACTTTTTTATTTTAAATATCTAGTCACACGTATATAGTTATAAATATTTTACTGGAATACAACAGGCAGATAAGTAATTAATATTACGTTCAAGTACTGGTATGTTATAATACTTTTGGTTACCACAAATGTACTGTAATTACTAGTCGTCCAATCCAGCATAATGTGTTTATTAAGCAAATGTTTGCAAATATTCTTGATGGCATGCTAATTTGTATCTATTTTGAATGAAGCTGCCAGGACATCTCACAGAAAGGCGTAGCACTACAGTCTTCACTCTGTTAAAGGTACGAGAAGACACAAACATCCTTTTTTTATTTTATTTTTTATTCAAAGTATCTTGTGTCATGCTACAATATGCCCTCTCAAACATTTATTTAGCAATGAGATTTAATTTGGTCTATTATTACACAATGTTCATAATAATGTATATTTAGTTTTATTGTATTTTGTTCTCTTGATGCCCCTAAAACAGGGGTCGTCAACCTTTACTATTAAACGAGCCTTTTTTGACCAAAATAAGAAAATGAAAAAAATATCTGGAGCCACAAAACATATTTTAGCCTTATAACTTTATAACCCTAAAATCAACCTCACTAATAGGTCTAAATGAGCATTCAATAATATGCTTTACCATTAATCTGCAGTGGGCTGTTTATGATTATTATGCATTTTAGCTTTGCATTTTTATTACAAATAACACCATGTCTTGTTGCATATAAGAAATTATATAAACTATACTAGAAGGGTTTAGAGGTACTACATAAAGCTTTAGAGGTCTTACAAGAAGCTTTAGAGGTCCTGCAAAAGGTTAAGAGGTCCTGGAGAATTTTTAGGGGTTTGGAGTAACAGTTGGCGATTAATTTTCTGTCACAGTGCAAATCGATTAATACCTTCTGTAGAAACCCTAAATGTCCTCCTGAACATTTAAACCCTTCTCCAGGACCCCTAAAACTTCTTCCAGAATATCTAAAACCTTCTCCAGAACTTCTAAAAGTTACGATGAATGAAAAGTAAAATGTTTAAAAAATAACCATTATTCAGTTCCATATAATTTTTTCTTAAAGCCACAGGGGTCCACTGGAGATGTGATGAAGAGCAGCATGTGGCTCCGGATAATCAGGTTGCCTACACCAGCCCTACAAGAAAAAACATAGAGACCGGTCTCAACAGCTCCGGAGATCTTTCTGTCACATGCCAGGGACACAGAAGTTCAAAAAAAAACAGAGCCCAAGAGGTGAGCCTTAACCACTAACAAAGTACTATGGCCAGCTGTGAATAACAAACCTTACAGTATGTCCTAAATATAACCAAATTGTAAGTTTCTTTCCTCATTAACTCTCAAATATGCTCATATGTTGCTGTTCCAGTTAATGTAGACCAACAAAAACTACTTGACTTCCACACATACTCATATGCATTTCCACTTGTCTCTCAATTCCTTTCAGGAAAGACTTCCTCTAAAAGCTTGTTCCCATTGTCTACAGCAAGTTAGTAATAGCTTTTTGAATTGAGTGATTTGTATGTTATATGGACAGCAATGTACAGAAATTTCATGTACACATGAAAAGGTGTACTGTGTTCATTCTTTTTTTCCTTTTTTATCCCCCCTATTTTTAAAGTGTTCCAGAGGGTGGTTATAGGTAAATTGGTGGACCTCACCGAGGAGTTCAAAGGACTCCGGGGAGCGATGGAGCCAGAGTGCCTTCCAGGAGAAGTCAAACAATTAAATACCTTTGAGGAGCTGGAAGACCTGGAGGCCAGTCTGAGGAATCCCAAAGAGATGGCATTATTGGTATAATAAAAATATCTTCATTTTAACTTAGCTGTTTACTTTAGTCTAAACATATATTTTAAATAACTTAAAAATAACTCCTAACTTGGTTGGTATTTTAGTACAGAGCATGATATTGTGTCCCTATTTTCTTCAGAGGTTCAAGCAATGGCCAGAGTTGGTGGGAAGAGTATAAAGGACAATACAAATAAAATAATGGACAGGTATGAACATCGCACGCACACACACACACACACAGAGTTATATCTAAAGCAGTATAAAGCAAATAGATATGACAGTGACTCATTATAGAGCTATTCTAAACAAGGGAGCCTAATTGAAGTCCAGTGTGAAATTCCTTTAATGACACTACATTATTGAATTTACAGACTTCTAACCAACAAGTTGATGGTCACGTTTAACATGAAGGGGGGTGGTCCAAAAAACAAGAGGCCATTCAGGGAAACTACCCTGTACTCTGTGATTAAAGGTAATAATTTTAGCTAATATTCAAAATTGCCTTTATTAATGAGTGGTTGCACAGTGTGAAATCGTTGTATGTTATTGATAATGCTGCTCCTCTAATATTTTAGATGCTGTCATAAGGTCCAATCCAAGTGCCACAGAGGCACAGGTTGAAGGCGCTATGGCAGACCACCTCAAACAGGCTCCTGGAAGGACTGGTGGGGGGGGGGGGGGGGGGGGGGGGGGGGGGGGGGGGGGGGGGGGGGGGGGGGGGGGGGGGGGGGGGGGGGGGGGGGGGGGGGGGGGGGGGCTTTGAATGAACAGCCTGTGGAGGCTTTACGTTTTTGAAGTTATTGAGGATATAGAAGTCCTAGACTAATTTATGTTATTTTATTTTATTTTTTTCTGTTGTTGATGCAATATTACACAATTGGGGTGATATACTGTATATTTGAATAATAAATTCAATTTTATTGTAGCTTGTCATGGTTTTCTTTGGTCTTAAAGTGGACACTCTCAAATTGTTATGACTAAGTATGTAAATTGTAACATGCTGATGGTTGAATTATTAATCCTATAGTACGAACTAATTTTACTGTTTAATTTAACAGTGAACATTTTAAGGTTTAAAGGACGTTTAAAAGACGTTGAAAAAACAGCTATGTTGAAAACTCATTCAAAATTGGTTCGAAAGTTAAAGTTTTTTTACCGACTTTTTAAAGACGTTTATTAAACATTCATATTCAAAGTAAGCATTTTTAGGTTTAAAGGACGTTGAAAAGATGCTGAAAAATGGCTATGTTGAAAAATCGTTCAAAATTGGTTCGAAATTGGAAGTTTTTTTTAACCGACTATTTAAAGACGTTTATTAAACATTCATATTTAGACCATTTTTCACCTTAATTTCCAATAATGGTTTTTAAATGAGAAATTTGAATGTGGTTTACTAGTTAAGGTCCAAAATGACGATACACTATGTCTGCACATTAAACAAGAACAATTTTTGTAATATTGCATTTCCTGGTGAAATATGGTCTATATGTCAACGTTCAATAAACGTCTTCAAATAGCTGTTAAAAAAACTTTCACTTTTGAACCTATTTTGAATGTCTTTTCACCGGTTACCATAGTCGTCTTTTAAACGTCTTTTCAACTAAAAATGTTTGCTGGGTAAGCAGTAACTGACAATTCTATAGAATAGGCTATACCTTTACTTCTGCACTATTTTATGCCTAATGTTTTATGTGTTGCATCTTTTTTATTTGTGTATTTTGTTGTACAAAACAGTCACTGCCAATGACTGCTCCCCTATTTATTGTGCACAAGGCAAATATAGACTATGACAATACAGACTACTACTATTACTACTACTACTACTGCTACTACTAACGATAACGTAACAATACGGTTACAAACGTGGACTGAGATTACATTCCTGGCCTGAATTTCCCCTGTTCACACCAGCATAGACACATGTAGCTACAAACACAAAACTAGTTATTAAAATACCGTTACAGTTACAGTTAGGATATTATAGTACTTTGTGTTGGAACCTCACTATAGATATTTGATTGCATTGAGTGGAACGGTTAGTTAGTTCTTCACTGTGTCAGTGTGGATATCATTGGGGCTTTGGAGCAGCAGTCAGCCCCGCTGTCACCCCAGCCCGCACGCGCCACTGGCTGCGCACACTGACAATCAGGGAGATTGCCATGACGTCACTGCGGTGCGGTAGACTATTGGTTGGCAGTCCTGCATAATCTCACCGCCGAGTAGCGAGGGTTTTGTTCACCATGTTGGATCAACTGCACATCACAGTTGCCTTGTGACCAATAGTTTTATCATGTCAGTGGCAGCGGAGTGGCGTGGGCCCAAAGTGTAGAGCATTCGAGCGGGTGGCTTCCTCCTCTACAGCGGACAGAAGGGCTCACCGACACGAACGGGAGGACTAGCTACTTGTGTGATTTGGGGACACGGACGCCGATTAGCTAGCTCCAAACTGTCAGTTTAATTACTACTGTCTCTAACTCATGGCAGCTGGATAATTCGTCCTGCATTTACAGGATTTAACGTTTTCCCCGCATTGTTGTTTCGTCTTCCTGGATGTGTGCTTATGAGCCGCAGGACGACAGTGTGAAACATAATAAACACAAGGCTGTCGATGGGGGTAATACATTGCCTGTCAGCCGTCTGCAAGGATTTCTCTTGTCATTCTTTGAGTCATGGTCGAAGCTTCGTCACTGTCAGAATGATGGGGATTTCTTTCCATGCTCGCGGCTCGTTGGATTGTAATAATATGTGAGTGGAGTGGATGACCGAGGCCTGGGCCTGCTTGCCTCCCTGCCTGCTTTTCTGCGTGCGCTGTTTTTAGTGGCCTGGGCTTGGATACAGCTCCTCTGCACCGGATCAGCAGCGTTAATTACGGCTCGGAGATTACTCCTGTCTGGCCTGCGCACACATCACAAGGAGGATTCAGTTTAGCATAACAGATGCGATTTCCAAGCCGTGTGGATCCCCTGTGGTGGGAAGAGCAACGGCGCTGGACCAGAGCGTATGGCAAACTTAGACACTTTTAAAAGATGAATGCGTTGCTTCCCATGTGACAAGCATTAGATCACACTGTTCCATCAAGACGGGGAAGCTGAATTTCATGAGGAGGGAGGGGGGCACTACCTCTATCATGAGGGACATCTAGGGCCACCGACTTTTTTCTTAATTGAGGGGGGTGCGGGTTATTTTCTATTCAACATTTTTTTTTATTTATCGTTGTTAGGAGTGGCACTGTTAGGGCTGCACAGATTTTTAGACTTGGGTGGTCATTGCTGTAGGCTACATGCTCGTGATAAGCTTTCTTTTATTAGCCTCAGGCTACAGTAGCCTAATGGTGTGCAAGCACGGAAATTAATTTAGAGGAAGTGGGTCAGATCCTCGTTGGCATTATGATAAGGAGGCACACCGGAATGCTTTCTCTACCCACACATTTGAAGTAGCAGTTGTCGGGTCATTTAAAGCCCTAATCTGTTTTCATTTGTCGCCCGGTAGCCATTATCATCACTTTTAGAAGCGGTTTGTGTTAGGAGGCATTTCAGCATTATTGAATGGCTCTTTGTGGCACTACGGCTACAAATGTTACAAAAATGATGGCCGCTTACAACGGTGGCTCCTCTACAGTGGCTGCCCATCATCCGCATCACCACCACCAACTCCAGCACCTTCCGCCTCCCCACATGCACCACCACCACCACCACGCGGGCCAGCATCACTTGCAGCACCCGGGCTCCGCCGCTGCTGTGCACACGGTTCAGCAACACACCTCCACGGCTGCCGCTGCGGCGGTGATGCTAAACCCCGGCCAGCAGCAGCCCTACTTCCCCTCTCCTGCCCCCGGACAAGCCCCAGGGCCGGCGGCCGCCGCGGCTCCCGCACAGGTTCAAGCCGCCGCTGCTGTCAAAACTCACCACCACCATCACCATCAGCAGCAACACACACACCACCTACAGCAGCAGCTGGATATAGAGCCTGACAGGCCCATTGGCTATGGAGCGTTTGGGGTTGTGTGGTAAGTGCACCGCACTACATTTTTAACAGATCGCACCAGTAGCGTTTTTTTAGCCCATTTAACTACAAGCTGTAAGGTTTTAGCTCAGTGCCATTTGCCTATACTTTCCAAGCAGCTACTGGTTTCCATGAATTCCAGTAGGCTGTAATAGGCCTATGTGTAGTTTTGAAACCCTGAGATAATTTGTCATACTGAATGCCTGCTTTGATTTTTGTCACATTTTATTTAGTTGGGTTATTATCAACTAATGTTGCATTTCTGAGTGCAGGTAGACCTATTTGGAATGTTTAATCTAAAGTAATTGTGAACAAACAGTCAAACGTTCTTGATGCTATCTGTGGTGAATTTACCTGCTCAGCAGTGGCGTTTTCTCCCGGAGGCCAAGGGAAGCCAAGCTTCCTCTGTTTTTTCAGACTGTAATTGTCATTTTAATGAAAACACTTAGTTTAACAGTTTCGGTAATTCTTCTGTGCTGTTGCTGTCATCTCTTCTCTGAGTATTTTACAATGAGTGAAACAGCGCCCCTTTAAATGAATGTGTGGTAAAACACAGTATTGCATGGTAACACATCTATTCAAGGGCTATGGCCAAGGGAAGCCAGCCGCCCTTTGGCTTCACACCAATCAAATAGCACGTTATCAACGTCACTGAAATCAAATAACGCTGGGAGGTAACCAAGGTAACCGTTAGCAACTTTACTGCAGTCATGGAGGGTGGCGATTTGGAGTTTTTGGTAATAAACAATTTTGCGAAACTTCCTTTACAGCAGCAACTTAAAATTAAATCAGACGGTAGACCAACACCAAAACTAGAGCTGCAGACGGAGAGAAAAAAAGGGACTCGGACTTTCAATGAGGAAAATTACGTCGGCACGGAGTGGCTAGCTGGTAGCGCTAACCTTCAGCGGCTATTTTGCTGGCCCTGTCTTCTTTTTGACAAGGATACATGCTCGCTGAACAATCCTTGGGTCACTACAGGATTCATCGACCTTGCCAACCTGTCACGGGCAATCGAGAGGCATGGTAAATCAAAAAGTCACATAGATTGCGCTGTGAAATTAAAGCTTTTTGGACGTGACAGGAGAATGGCCTTCCTCTTTAAATAGGGTGAGTTAAATGCACACTCCCTCTCTTTGTGACTTTACTGTTGGTTGAACAGCCTATGTAGCTATGTGTGCATTTTTTGATGTGGTTATTTGCTTATTGTGCCTTGCTTGCCTGGATTTAGTTGTATGTGTTGTCAGTCCACTGAAGTAGTTGTTTTATTGCGGTTGTTTAAATGATATGACGATCGCTACATAGTGTTGCACGGTATACTGGTACCAACAATAGACTGCGGTACTAAAACACGATGGTACATATGATACTATAATGTTGGAGTACCTCAGGTACCACTACTGTGGGATAAGTTCAAAGTCCAATTGCAAGAGGTTGAGTGTCCATGCACAGTCCAATAACGGAGCGCGCTGGCCACCTGGCACTCAATAAGCGGCTGCAGTGGTTTGTTTTCCACAGAGCTCTACGGTGCGAGCATTTTACTCGCATTTGCGACTGAAAATAGTTTTGTACAAACAAAACAAATCATTCAGGAGCACGCTGTGCGAGTACAGATTTCAACCAGCAGCAGAAACTAAAGGCAAATCCTGCCGGTTGTGGGTTGAACGGGGGTCACAGACAGGAATACAGCGGTCAAATACAGCGGCCATAGTGTGCCGCGGCGCAAGATAACGGCTTACCGGCGACGGAGAAGTCCGGCTCCAGGTCAAATAACTCTTCGTTGGTGTCATGACTGCCCAAAAGTACCTGAACAGCCGAGCCGTGGCGGCACACAGGTAGGCTATGTGACATGTCAGAGGGGAAACGAGCCGTTCACATTTCCACAAACCTCACCACACTTAAGGGACCGTTCTTTACTTGTCAGGGGAGGAGGGTGGCTGGTTGATTTTTGGTTGATTTTTATTTTATTTATTTATTTTATTTTGATCCCCCCTATGTTAATCACTTATTGATGCTGTTTTTGAAGTATGAATACGTCATTAAGTAATTTATTCTATTGAAATATCATTGATGTATTATAGAAAAGCGATTTATCTTTTTATAAATGACAAAAGGCACATCTGCCTCATTTTCGTTGTGGTATCGTGATACTACTCAGAACCGTGATACTTTCACTGGTATCGTACTGTGGGTCCCAATTTTGGTACCATGACAACACTACTACATAGTAGTGTCTACTTGATTTGTATTTGTGCTGTTCAGTATTTTTTTGTTTTTTGATAGTGTATATTGCACTAGTAGTTTAACACTGTCTTGGAATTTAATAAATATTGACAATCAATTCGAAACCCTTACAGTTGCATATTTGTTTTCAGGATGGGATTTTTCCTGTTAACAGGATTTCCTGCTTTTCTGACCTTCTTTTCTGACCGTATATTTACCTCAAGTTGCATTTTGGGACATACATGCATACATACATACGTACATATCATACTTGCCTGTAGAGAGGAGTTTATTACAGCCTCATATAAAATCAACAATAATGATAATAATATTAAAGCAAACAGAGTACTGGTATCGGAATAGTATCGGTATTGGCAGATATCCAAATTCAGGTATCAGGATTGGATCGGAAGTGAAAAAAATGTGGATCGGTGCATCCCTACTTTCAAATCTCTGCTAGTTTATTCTAATACTGTAGTAACATGAACAGAAACTAATGACTGTCTAAAGATGGACAAAACCTATTAAATGATCCAGACATCTGGTCAAACACTATGAAATACTATAGCCTGACAGTGATCAGTTGTAAGGCATACGCTGTGTAGTAAGTGGCCTAAAATATGCAGAAGTATTTTTTGCAAAACTTTTAAAACAACTGCAGTATCTGGGGCCAGATGTATAAACCATGCCCTCACACAAAAACTGTGCATAACCTACAACATTTCTTGCACATAAACTGGTATTTATAAAAGATTAATGTGCACTGAGAACGTGCACATCCTATGGAAAGCTCGAGCAGGCTTGCACAAGGTTTCCACATGATGGAATTTGCATGATTTCCATTCCTATGCTTATCTTTTTATGTTGTTGCAGCAATTCCTGGGTTGAGACCATTTGTTACACAAATTTGGTGCTAAATTGTATGCATTGTATGCAAAGAAATGAGGGCTGTTATGAGGGCTAACATCATCCCCCATGAAGAAAACTGGGCTCATTGAATCTTCAAGAGTCTCAACTTTTCAATCAGACCAAATTTATACAATTCCCAGTGTTTAGGGACCCGAGTCTGCAGAAATTTTCAAATACAATAAGCAAAAATAACACATTTACACTGCCTGAAAAGAAAGCTGCATGTTTTTGCCCCAAATTGAAAGGAACCAGGACAAAATGGGCATGTATGTAAAGGGTAGACTTCTGGGCACCCATTGAACCCATTTTCATTTCATTCAGATATCTTAAGGTGAAAGTTCAAGGGACCACTGTGACAAGGCCATACCAGTTTTTCCCTCATTAGAATTGAGCCTAACTTTGGAATGTGATTTAGCTCCCATTGTGTGAAGAAAACATCAACAAATGTCTCCTTCAACCAGCTGTGTTTATTCAAGTTCCTCACCAAAAACTACATTTTACAAGATTACATTTTAACACATTGTGATAAGATTATAATTTACCTTTGCCCAACGCTCCCTTTTTACCGGAGAGAGCATGAATGCATCATAAGGTAACTCAATGCAACCTCCATCAGCCGCTAGTTCTGGCCAGCGGCCTCTAACAGCTAACATGAAGTAGCTCTCCCCCTGCAACTGTCAACGCAGATTTGTTGTTGACAATGTAGCATTATGGGTGAAACAATAGTGTGCTTTCCCAGATGTGTTGATAGTGAGTTTACTGTGATCTTTCGTCCCGACAGTGTCCTGTGCAATGTCTTTGTTCATCCCAGACACGTTTTCTATTCTCCCCAGGATGACGGGACACTGTTAGTCTGGAGCCCTGTCTGTGCAAATTGATGTGACACAATGGAAAAACATCAGCCACTGCCACTGATGTCTTTTTTTTTTTTGCTGATGGGCCAATGGCAGTCAACAGAGTGAATATTGGCCGTGCATATACACAGTTTTAGTCATAAATCTGCACAGACTTTATGCCTCTGCCCATGGACTTTCAAAGATGTGGGCATTCACCAGGCAGGAGGGGTCCAATGAAAACTTCTACCAAGTTGCATTATGGCACATGTAGGCTCAAGTACTAATACAGTGGCTTTAATCTGTCTTGTGTACTGATGTGGACACTGGTGTTGACCTTTTTATTAATACAGAACTAAGTGTTTTTAGCAGCACTTGATTCAGGTTTCATAACAGTGCAAACATGGATTTGAAGTTTACCTCCAAAAGTTGCACTGCACAGTTGGACTGTTAAAACTTACTCCATGTGGCAATTTCACAGCAGGTCTGTAGAGATGTACAGATACCACTTTTTCCTTCCCGATACCGATTCCGATCCCTGAACCTTAGGTGTCTGCCGATATCGAGTACCGATCCGATACCAGCGCGTAAAATAAAAATGGATGGGTTATGAATTGTTGTATGTCTCAACTCCTAAAAATAAATACATAACAGTAGAGTGAATGCCATAAAACTTTTTATTATTATTATTATCCAGTGTTGACACAGATCAAGACACAGGTTAAAGTGCAGCCACACATTTTGGTAAAAAAGACATTTTAAAGGCTACAGTAGAATGCTTTTTAAACTCTGCTCCGTTTCCATTTCATTTGCCTGTAGTGTGCATATGTGTAATGACGTGAGGCATTACGTGGTATCGGATTGGTCATAGGCTGTACTCGCCTTTACAGCATATGACATCCCTCTGTCCTTAGGACCCTCACAGCGGATAAGGAAAAACTCCCCCCAAAAAAACCCTTTAACGGGGGAAAAAAACGTTAGAAACCTCAGGAAGAGCAACTGAGGAGGGATCCCTCTTCCAGGATGGACAGACGTGCAA